AACAACATGCCACCCAGCACAAAACTGATCCTGCTTCTGTTCTTGATCTTTCAGATGTGACACCTTGCTTTGCAGAGGGCAGACTAACAACAGGTTGTTGTTTGTCATTTCAGAAATAGAGTCTGTGTTTTAGCCGGAGCATACCAACTGGCCTGCTGTCCATGACATTCCTGAATACCACAATACATTATTGTCACTGTGTGTCTGCATGTGTGTGTTTAGTGTGTGACAACATACACAAGCACACAGTGTGTTGAATCCATATCCCATATGTGAGGTATGTTTAAAATAATCCATTCAAATATAAATAGATAAATAATAAATTTTTATCACACTTGCAATGGCAAAGAAAGCCTGTAATGTTTCCTGTGTTACACAGATCCTGCCCTCTGTCATGACACTAAAGACATTCCTGTTTTCTGACGCAAAAGAAATTTGCATTTGTGTGGTATATATAAGGTTTGGGTCTATTCAGACCAGTGGTGGAACTATAAAGTAGCAGAAAATTGGAAGCACAGGTGTGAGTTTGTTATATTCAGGTGTCCCAGTAAGCCAAGACAGTGGGACAGTGAGCCAGCAGGACCCTAAAACCGAAGCAGCTGAATTGAATTCAGCCATCATTAATTTTATTATTTACCTGTGCTTTTCCTACTGTGACATGTCAAAATGTCACCAAAGACTAACATAGCTCCACCCAAATTCAATGTGAATGCAAGTGTTTGTTTATAGCATTTTACCTAGACCCAGCTGGGATATATATGGTGGAAGCGCACTCAAGGGAAATCTAATTGTTGCGTTGCACACAAACAGGCCTAAATCCTACATATGTACAGGCATGCACTCATCCCTCATCGGCCACATCCAGATAATGTAAATGTATTTAGTCTCTGTTGAAATATGTTTAAACTATTGAGTGAAGACAAAAATATCCTGTTGAAGTTAATGAAACAAGCTAAGTGACAAAATACTGCATGAACATTTTCTTTTCGGCTTGTTTTCTCTAATTTCTAATTTCCGCTTGCAGCAGGTTGTTGCTAAACATATTTTGCATGTTTTCAGTCAAATCAGATCAGTCTCAACTGATTGAATCCTGTTACATTTTAAGTGCAGGGCCTTGAAAATAGTTCAAGCTGCTGTTTAATGGTAACATACCTTACTATACACAATATTTAATGCTCAAACACATAAAAAGGCAGTGTCAAGAGACTGACTCAACCGCAAGACAGGACTGCATGAAATGGAAAACCTCCATTTCTGCTTAATGCGTTTAGTCATGTTAAATGACCATAAGTGTAATTCCAGTCAGCGACACAAGAGAGGCCCCCTCTCTGCCCTCCATACCACAGACTGGAGGGAGACGCCAGACCAGCAAACAGAAGGGAGGGGGGAGGAGGAGGGAATTTTAATGCACACTCTTTACACCACACACACACACACACACACACACCAAAACACATATATCACATTTACAATTTAAGCTTTCTGCTGACACTCTCATTCAGACAGACCTTTTGGAAAGAGAGCAACTATGGCATCTGTGTCTGAAGGGATCTTTGAGTGTGAAACACTGACCCCCTGTAGGATTCAGAGTTTCAAGATGACTGCAAAATGTTTGTAGTTTCTTGCGTCACAAGGAACAGCAGCTGTAGTCAGATTTAGGTGTATTGGTTGCTAAGTTTTGTTGCAGGAAAAGTATTAAACCCATCCATAGAAACTTTTCAAATCACTTCTGCTGCACAACCCTATGCTCAGTGCCATGTAAAATGTCATATTTTCACCATAAAATGCATAATGAAACCTACATACCATTTCTTCTTCTATTTTTTTTTACAGGTTACGCTCAAGGTATGTTTACCCAAAGTTGCATAAGGCACAGATGAAATCCTTCATATTAGGGAATAATACCATAATGCATCTACAGTTTATATGTAACATGTGGAAGGGCAAAATAGACAAAATGCGAGTGCATTAAAGCAACAGACATTTTGGGAAATGCACTTATTTGCTTTCCTGCAGAGAGTTAGATGAGAAGATTGATTACAATTATGTCTTTATGGTCAACATGAAGTTGGTCCTAGGAGAAGATCAAGATTTAGCTAAACATAAAGACTGAAATCTAGCACCTCTAAAGCTCCCTATTTTAACATGTTAAATTGTGCTTGTTCAATCCCTACAAAAATCTTAAGTGTAAAAACGATGGCGGGTTATGCCCCAGACTATTTTTTATTTCTTTATTATTTTTCCAGAACCAGTTACTCTCTGAAGTCTCTGCTGTTTACCTGGCAACTGGTCCCAGCCATGAAATTGTCCTTCACTTCAGGAAGGGATTGAGACTGATTAAACAAACGAGATATAGTGTGTTAATTATACAAACAAGGTATGACGTGTATGATGCTAATAGGTGGATTTTCTTTCCCTTGGGGCAGAGCCAGGCTAGCTGTTTCCCCCTGTCTTAATGTTAAGCTAAGCAAAGCAGCTACAACTGTAGCTTTATTTTGAAAGGACTGATATGAGAGTGGCATTGATCTTCTCATCTAACACTTGGGAAGAAAGTGAATATGTGAAATTCCCAAAATGACAAAGTCTTGATATCCATCTGGATATGTTTTTGTATGACATCACTGTAGATGTTCATCATCCCAAAATTTTAGCTGGGCAGTTAAATGTTCTATCACTTTGTCTTTTTCCAATATGGACAGACATTTACATTTACAATTCCCGTCAATTTTGTTACATGAAATATTACTAACCAGGTTTTTTGAGTAAGGACATCATTATGGTCCTCTATAGCCACCTTTCCATGTCTTCCAAGAGACCGATCTGACATGGTCTGGTGGTCTGGTTGCTGTGTTTTGGAAAACCAACCATCTGCAGGGGTCAGATCCTCATCAGCTCTGAGGTTTGTTTACATTCTCACACAGGGCCACCAGGGACAGACAGTGCCCATTTAAAAGTTAAACCGTGGGAAGAAACATGGCGATAAATAGTACAGAGAGAAAGTGACACTGAGACTCTTTGCCCTGTCTACACTGTCGGCTACTGTGCACTATTTTCTGTGACTGTGACCTGGATTTAGACCAATCTTGAAATCAGTGGTCTAAGATGCATATTGCATAATTACATCGTCCTCTGAATTTGGTACCTTTGATGCATGACTCCCTTTCTCTCTCATTTCCTGTCTGATTCTCATCTCTACTCTATTAAGCATTAAACATGTCATGCAAAAGCATTGCTGTAATCATTGTAAAAGGCATGCATCTAATTTTCCAGGTTTGACAAGTGTGTCGAATTTGCTCTGTCTGGTGTGTTTGTGTGTGTGTGAAACACTGGCCTAATGTAAATATTGAACACCAATCCAAACCAAAAAAGAAACAAATGATCCTTTATCTAAAAACAGATGGAAAGACATAAAAGTAAGGAGGGAGAGGGATCAATAGCCTGTGAACGGTCATGACGAGTCTGCTCTCTTTCTAACAACTTGCACCTCTAATCAATTCCAGTAAGACTTCAGTCAAGTATTGATGTCTACACATAAAAGACACCAATAGTCAGTGAGAAAAACATTTCTGACTTTCCCAGATGTACAGGGCCATTACTTCACACCAGATCATTCCCCTTCTTGTTTAAAGCATTAAAAAGAATCACAACTTATAGTGTTTAATACCATGGGGTTTTTTTCTGCATCCCTGTAATCATTGTTGTAATTGACATTTACAACATTAACAGGAATGGTTATAAATACAACCTCTGAATGGATAATTAACAAATTGTAAAAAGTAAATGCATATATCATCCATTCATAATTACTGTAATGTTTTCTAACATGCTGTGTTTAAACTTTGATTTCATTCGCATTTTTCTTACATTAACGGGAGATATGAGTTGGTAGGATCATTATATTGATAGCAGCATATTGTTATTGTTTATGATGTTTTGCATTAAAAGAAAACAGTCATATAAGAGCTGAAGAGAACAAGTATCAGCTGTGCAGAAGAGGAAGAGTTCCTTTTCCATTTTCCTGCAATATCATAACTACTCTATACATCCTGTGGTTCGAGCAATTATGCATTTAGATTTATTGCCTGTCTTTGCTATATTTCCACATCAGACTGTATCCTCTCACATAGGAAGACGTAGAGCAAGCTCCAGATGGAGCTGAAATCTTTGTTTGATTGCGTCTAAATGGTTTGGTTAGAACTAAATGTGGACTAAAATAGAAGGTAAATATGTATCTCACAGGTTACATTATTTTCCGAAAGATCCATTTGTTCCATCTGCACTTTCAAAATAAAGTTTCAAGGTTCAATTATGAAAGTAGTTCTGCTAGCCTCTTTGATATTTCTACGTACATGCCCACTGTCTGACAAAAGTGGATAGAGCAAGCTCTAATGTGCAGTCTGTAGCTCTATTGTGCCTCTACGTGGTCACATGTATGTGATACAATCTGGTACCCACAAACAGCTGTCACAGGAAACCTACATTTTCCAGATTTCCATTCGTTGTTGTCTCCCCGCCTTCAAAATAAAAGCGTTGCCAAATTTCTAAATGAAAGGTGCGATTCGCGAGGAGGGCGGCGCGGTGATTCAGTGGTTAGCACTGTCGCCTCACAGCAAGAAGGTCGTGGGTTCAAACCCCGGTCTGTGTGGAGTTTTGCTCCCTCCCACCCTCCAAAGACATGCAGGCTAGGTTAATTGGTATCTCCACGATTGTCCTTAGGTGTGGATGTGAGTGGTTGTTTATGTGTGGCCCTGCGATGGACTGGCGACCTGTCCACGGTGTACCCATAGACTGTCACCCGATGTCAGCTGGGATTGGCTCCAGACCCCCGCGGCCCTGTGCGCAGGATAAGCGGTTGACGATGGATGGATGGATGGATGGAAAGAACAGCAACCATATGTGTTGACTGCAAAGTTGTATTACTAATGCCTTCACCAATCATTTTATTCAGCTCCAGAAGACAGGTTTAGAAAAAAAGCTAATTAAAGCTTTTATTTCGAAGATTATCAACGGAAGTGTTCAGTGCGTGCAGTCTATGATCGCTCCCACTTATTTCTAATGCTAACTCTGGGTCCTTGTTGGCCCTTTAGTGAGAATTCAGAGTGCATCAGCTGCAGCCAGCAGAGTCAGCCCGGATCGTCTGTCAGCTCGTTCATAAGTCACTGAGGATACTGAAGCTGTTAGTTCCAAGATGAGGCTGCTGCCAGTTGTTGTTACAGTGTCATTGACGGTGGCGGTCGCTTATTATGTTTACATCCCGCTGCCTGATGCCATCCAGGAGCCGTGGAAGTTGATGATTCTGGATTCTGGATTCCAGACAATGATGCACCTGGTAAGAGGGGAGATATTTTCATTGGGAATGAATCCTGGTACACGTGCTGTAAGTGGACTGCCTCAAAAGCATAATGCATACAAGCAATGAAACTTCAGTTATTAATGTGCACAACATCTGTATCTTGATCTAGGCAAATCTTGATCTTCTTTATCTTATGTGTGCATTTTAGCTACATAAAGTCAAACGTTATTTATAACAGTTGCTGTGAATAAAAAAGGTTAGTTGGATGTACTGCATGTTTGGAAAACTAACAGCCGAAATGCCCAACTTTAGTCTCTATAATCTTACACACTGTCTTACAATGTGTAGCCTATTTATTTGTAGTAGTGTGTTTTCAGAGCAGCACTATGACATGCATAGCTGTAAAATAAAACATCTGAGGCACATCATACCTACATTTTGAAACACATCAACATGTCCTGTTATTGATGAAGTTTAATTGAAGTTACTACAGTGGTTCTCTTTATCAGAATGTCTAACCTTGCCTGTATCCATCAAGATTCATTGTTACCAGCAGTGTGAAATGTACAAATAGCCTTTTCAGTACATTAACATTGTGATTTTAAAACTGTCACGCTGTCCGTCGTGGTGGGAGTTCATTCTGGCCCTGTGAGGACAAGCAACACTTCACCCTCACCTTTGTTCTACATTGGCGCTGTAGGTGAAGAGTAATGCTATCAGGTATTGCCACACTGACTGAGGGATTGGCAGAGGGAGTTTGCTCCAAAGCAAATAGAGCAAATAGAGCAAACTCTTTACACAAGCAATTTGTTCATTGTATCTTTCTTTTCCAAACAATGAAGTTGGCTTAGGAGAAGGTGAGGCAGGCAAGGGTCAAAACCAGCGAACTGTCCAACACAAGCAAACAAAGGAGCAGACTGAAATCCTAAGTGCAATTAAAGGCAAAAATCAAATCCTGGTAATGCAGGTAGAAACAGGGAACCAAGACATGAGCGCACACACCGACATAACATATCTATCTGGCAAGGAACAAACGACATTTAAAACAGTCCACAGCATCTAAGTTGAGTATGATGTACTGCAGAAGAACAGGCTTTTTAACTGCGTAGAGATAAATTGGCCTTTTTCTCCTTTCTGCAGCTGACATTATGTGCAAGAATGGGTTCACATGTTATAAAAAGAACAAATTAGTTAAGTGTGCTTTTGAAAATAGAATAGAATATTTAATAGAATACAACTTTATTGCGCAATAGAGTTGATAATTGCAAGGCAATAAAACATCAAAGCAGCACAGGAACATGTTATTGCAACAGCCTTTTCACTTGTTTAACCCAAAAATCTATTGCTCGACTCCAGACTGTCCAGAACTCAGCTGCCAGGCTTTTAACCAGAACTAAGAAATATGACCACATTACTCCTATTTTAGCTTCACTACACTGGCTCCCAGTATGTTTTAGAATTGACTTTAAAATTTTATTGATCACTTTTAAAGCTCTTCATGGCCCCTCGCCTTGTTATATTTCTGACCTTTTAGTCCCATACGCACCAGCACGTACCTTGAGGTCCTCGGGCAGAGGTCTGCTGTCTGTTCCAGAGTCTCGACTGAAAACTAAAGGGGACAGCGTTTGCTGTCAGGGCCCCGAGGCTCTGGAACAGCCTGCCCGAGGAAATCAGGTCGGCTGAGTCAGTGAGCTCTTTTAAGTCCCTTCTTAAAACATACTTTTATAGGAGCGCCTTTCCCAATTTTATTTGATTCTATTTTTATTTGATTTGATTTATTTATTTATTTTTAATATATTTTATATTTATTTGAAACGTGTATTCTAGTCTTATAAGTGTTTTCTTGTTTTTAGCATGTAATTGTTTTTATGGGTTTTATTGTTTTTACACTTGTGAAAGCACTTTGTAACTGGTTTTTGAAAAGTGCTCTATAAATAAAGATTATTATCATTATTATTATTGTTATTATTATGTATCATAGAACAAATGTGGCAACTGAAAAGAACTGAAACACAGCGCTCTAGTGAAACATTAAGCTAAAGTACCTAAAATAAAACAATTTAAATTATTAAACCGTAAAATGCCGTGGAGCAAGATTTGTGGCACTGTTTTTTTTAAGTTTAAAAGGTAAGGTAGGCTAATTGCACTAGTTTACTAAAATATATCCAAAGAGGGGCTGCACTGATCTCATGCAGGAAAGATACTGATTTTATTCAAAATAATCCAGTGATTTAGTATTGCGCTGACATTGTCAGACTCACGATGGGCAGTTTCAATGAAAGAAAAGGATCAAAATTGATAAAGTAGAACCAGTGACAAGGAGTGGGCTACAGGGGTCTGGTGAAATCACTTCTTTCCAACTCAACACCCCCAGAACTTGTGGTCTTGTTACATCACATATGGCAATTTATCAAACTTCATGCAGCACTATCAGATCAGTACTCACTATCAGCAGAGACCGTAAGTTTGGGTATTTTAAGTGTTGCTGACTGGCCCCCACTATGCCAAGCAGATGTGTCTTACTGGCCTTGGCTGAACCCAACGATTAAGACAGTCTGAGATGTTTGTGGAGGGGAGGGCAGACATACTGAGACACATCAGTAAGATCCGGTGCAGAAGGACAGAGGTGACTGGGTGAGACAGTTCTGTCTCAAGTCTCACTCTTTACCTAAATATATCTTAAATCTGACATTTGTGTCCTGAGATACTGAATCTGCCTCTGTCTTTAGGCCTCTTTGAAGGCTTGGCTGGGCTTTGGCAATTACATCGAGTCAGTCAGGCAGTCTATAGAGGGCTTCGAGGGCATGATGAAGGGGCTGCACAGTTCTGAGCCCGGCGGAGGGGTCATGCCCGGAGTGAAAGTCAGCGACATCACTTTTGTCGGCGTCCCAGTCCGTGTTTATGAGCCCCCTGCTGGAGGGGAGGGGCATCTGAGGAGAGGGTTGATGTTTTTCCATGGGGGAGGCTGGGCCTTCGGCAGTGCTAGTGAGTACAAATGTTCCTTCGTTGTATTTTTTACTCGCAAATGTCTTTACTCTACAGGTGCAAATAGTGCACCCAATGCTAGTAACACAATGTGCATTTTATTTCTCTGTATAGTTTTTGCTCTTAGCCCTGTATTCATATTGTAAGCTTTGTTTCTTAATTTTGTATTTTAAATGGGTTAATAATTGCTATTGTAACTATAAATGCAAAATTAGGATCTTAAATTTGGCCTTACAAACCTGCAGATATATAGTATTTTTTTGTTTGTTTTAATTGAATGTGATATGTTACATTTTCTACTTTTAAGGGGATTGATTTTTCCAGATTCCACAAGTGTATAGTAACAAAATTTCAAATGAATGGATAATTCAGCAACTCACTTATCTTATCCCCATTTCTCTCGCACTTCCTCAGAGAAGGGGTCATATGATGTGATCAACCGGATGCTGTCCGACGAGCTCAACACTGTTGTGGTCTCCGTTGAGTAAGTGTGTCTCCTCCTGCAACGCTAATCTACTGTATCAACATTTTTCTGCTCATATACAGAAACCAACTGCTGATACAGATCTACACTTTAAGAAACATAAAGAACACTTTTGCATGTTAACTCATATTTTAGAAAGCTCCCTTCATAGTGATTTCACAGGTTGAGTAGTACTCCTCATGACAAGTGAACTGAGTACTTACAATCACATGCTCCAAAGCTTTCTAAACCTCCAGTAAATTATGATTTGCTACCAATGTCTGTGTAGGTATCGTCTGTATCCAGAGGTGCATTTCCCAGTGCCGTATTTAGACTGTCTCGCCGCTGCCAAGCACTTCTTGTCCCCAGAGGTTCTGGCCAATTATGCAATTGACCCAGAGCGTGTGGCTGTATCAGGTGACAGTGCAGGAGGAAACCTGGCAGCTGCAGTCGCTCAGGAGGTACATACAACAACCATCTCCTGTAGGAATGTGTGTAACAATGTACTGTAGCTAGAAATATAGAGATTAAGGCCTGTTTTTATATTTTCCCAGATTTCCATAGATGACACTACGAGTGTGAAATTCAGTGTCCAGGCGTTGATCTATCCAGTGCTCCAGGCTCTCGACTTCAACACGCCCTCCTACTTGCAGAACCAATATGTACCCATCCTCTACCGGAGCCTCACTATCCGCTTCTGGCTACAGTACCTCGGTGCTGACCTCTCCCTGGAGTCCCAGTTGATGGTGAACAACCACAGCTCCTTACATGACTCAAACATCACCCCAGAGTTGAGGGCACGACTAGACTGGACCACCCTCCTGTCCCCAAAATACCAGAAGAACTACAAGCCTCTGATTGTGAAAAAAGGTTCACAGGGGGCAGCAAAGGTGCCAGGGCTGCTGGACGTGAGGGCAGCACCACTGTTAGCAGGACCAGAGGTTTTGGCTAAATGCCCTCGGGCGTACATCCTAACGTGCGAGTATGATGTGTTGAGGGATGACGGCCTGATGTACGCACGGCGCTTACAGGACGCAGGTGTCACCGTTACCAACGACCACTATGAGGACGGCTTCCACGGATGTTTCAGCTTAATAAACTGGCCTTTTGAATTTGATGTAGGGAAGAGGGCACTCAGGGGTTACCTCAACTGGCTCAAGAACAACTTGTAAGAGGATGTATGTTTGTGTTTCACTGATACAAATGAATGATACACAGACTTGCTAAGGACATGTGCATTTGCTCTTTATGTAAGAATATAAGATCCAAGCTCAGGGCCCTCATGTACCTGCAGATATACAGGCACCACCTTTGTACATACAAAGTACATGATTTTAAGATGACTCTTTAAGTTCTGCAGTGGAGAAGGGCAAATATGTTAACTTTAACATGGCTGACACTGTGACCAGCAGACAAAATATTTAAAGAATAATTTTGTTATTTTTAAACCTGGGACATATTGTCACATATTTTGGTATCATTTTGAAATCTTATGAGAGGCGAGTTTTTGCAGGAAACGCCAGTGGAAATGAGGGAGAGGATTTTGTTATGTATATAGAGGAACTGCTAGCAAGACTTTGTTTCCTAACATTACTTCAACGCAACAAACTTATCAGACACCTCGTATAACAGTCTGAGCCTGTCAGTGGTAAAAAGAAGTACTTTCGTGGACGTAATTGCCTCACAAGGTATATGTTGCAGCTGCTGGCTGAAGCCATCTACTGCCATGACAAAACTTTTTGTAAAATATGAAAATGGGGCCCAGGTTTAAAAATACCAAAATTACCCTCTAATAAACACTTGGACACATAGCCACAAGCTTTCCATTAATGGATAAATTAACCACTGGGAGGAGCCACATCACACACTGATTCTTGTCCACACCACAAATACATGAGCAGTATGCCACAAGGGTATGTAATTGGGAGAAGTACTTTAAGTATGAAGCCCCTAATCAAAAGTTCATGTTAGTGAGCAGTGTTGAAAAAACAACAAACATTCTGAATCCGCAGGTCACGTTTTGTCATAATACCTCACAAATCATTGTATTGCTAGTGTTAAAATAATATGAAACCTGGTTTGATTCAATCCAGTTCATTTCATCAGTGTTTAGGACCTATTTTGGTGAATGGCACTGGGGATGCCACTGTCAGTCAGTTGGTCTGTCCACCTGTTACAGTTAGACTTTCATAGAGAACGCAAACACAGAACCAGAAATTCATGTTACACATGATTTTATTTCGCAGATAATCAGATATGCACGTAGCAGACTCCAGGGATCAGAGATAGTCCAAGGGGTTCCAAGGGAAAGCTGGGCTAGGCAGAGGAACAGGCAGGGGGATGTCCAATAAAGTCCAGAACGCCAGGGAGAATGTTGCTGACCAAGTGTCCAGTTATCCATAGATCTGCGAAGTGAAGCAGAGGCAGGAGTAGGGTCATCATGAAATTTGTCACACGCCTCCACCTCAGAATCATTTGTAATAGTTTTGGTGATCTCTTAACTTTCCACCCAGCGTAATAATTAGTTCACATTGTAATTGTGCCAAAACTCTGCTTCATGATATTCTTCTACTACAATGTTAACATCAAACATGGTACAGGACAGTTAACAAAAGTAAATTATATTGTATCTTGTAATATTCATCAAACTTAAGGCACACTAAAGTAACACCCATTCTGTAGAAGGTGACATCTTCACTGACATGATGTTGGCACTTGACAATCACTAACAACATGCACTATTTTCATCAAGTTTCATTCTAATTAATTTTTTTATTGTGTGTTACTTACAGGACATTCTATGCATCTGAACATGCCCTTAATTTACTATGAATGAAATGTTTGTGATTATAGATGCCTGATACTTATGGGATATGAATGAATTACTGAAGTTGCAATCACTTTTAAAATTTGCAGCCTTCTGCTGTCTTCTACTATGCTCGCTATTGTGATTTATGAAGGGACTGATGAATGGTGTCAATAAAAATCATGCTAATAAAGCCTAAATTGTTGTGTTTATTTGCTACTTTTGTGTTTTAGTTTTCAGTGAAGCTGCTGTCTGCACGACCTCCCTCATTAGTGACATTCATGTTTCCCACAATGTCTTTCAGCTAGTAGTAAAGTATAAGTGTGAATATTGCTCCTTGACTGTAGGTTCTGTGTGACTGAAGAGCTGTTCACTTTGACAATTCAATATGCCTTCTTGTTTGCTTGTGGCATATTCAAGTGCTTCTGTTCATATATGATGGCAACATGCAGTTAGTCAACATGAGAAAATGCTTATCATGCTAGATTATGCTTGAATTAATGCACTGGACAATGCCTGTTGTTCATTACTTAACTCTGAAGCTGCTATCTGTTTATTTGCTATATATTTAGTACAACGTTTGTACATTTGCGCATGTCTTTTAGTACAAACATTTAATTCTGGACAAGAGTTCAAACATTGAAATAAAAGACAATTTACCAAATAACTTATTTAATTATTTAAACACATAATTTTTTATTTTACTTGGGTTTTTTTTTACCTCTGTTTCCAGGACCTCCATGTATTCATTAAATGTATCATCCAACAAAAATACACCACATTTAGCTCCTCCAAATTTGGAGGGGTATGTATGTAAGTGCATAAAAATACAAGTAATGTTTATCAACTAGTCTGTGGAAATGCTTTCCAGCTATTTAAGAAAAGTAATGAAAGTTTGAAATGGTTTAGTCAATAGGAAGCCAGCACAGAGGAGAAATGTTCTCTTCAGTTCTAACTTTAACACACACTAATAAAATAGATATTTTAATATGCTGTTGTCTACCAGAAACACATAAATAACAGTGTGGTTTTGATGACACAGCTGCTGAATAGATAAGTCATGTTGCATATGTACTCTACATTGCTATTACTAGAGAATGCAGAGACCCTCAAGGCTCTCACATCTGCATCAGCTCTCAATCACTTTCAAGTCCAGACATGCTTTGGTTTTCAGGAGAAGTGCATTTCTGGGCCATTAAATCCAGCAGCACTAATAATCAATGCAACACTCCCCTCTAGCGACTGAGAACAACATGAGCCTTGCATACTCTTGATACACATTTGGCAATCACACATGAATGCATATGACACTCAGAGAGGCCCATTTGTCTGCATGTCAAAGACTTTTGATGCTTTAAGTACATTTTACTGACAACCCCTACTTAGTTTAAAGTAACATTTTGAATGCAAAGCTCTTATTTTTTAAAGTATTTTTTTATGTTGTTGCATTGCTACTTAGTAAAGGATCTGAACTCTACCTCCATCACTGTATGATATTTATTGAGCATTGAACACGTCCTTTCATAATACCTTAATTAAATATTAAACTTAATGTGTTAATCCTCATAACTGCATGCCTAAATGTAATCCTGATCCTACCCTTAGTCTAACCATTTAAAACAATAGATGATAGAATGAAGGCTCTGTTTCTCCCACATTCACAAACAGAAGTTTCGTATCAGGGAAACACCTTTCTACTTATAAACTCACTAACTCCTTGGCAGCTGTGTGTGTGCATTGTGCTGCTGTAGCATTTTTCAGCGCTAGTCTTTGTTTTAAAAATAAGACAATGAGCAGCTATAGAGCTCAAAGGGGAATTTAGGGAGATTCCATGACTTTACAGAGACAAGCGTTGGGAGGAGAAGCCCCAGAGGAGGGAAAAGGGGAGTGGAGGACAGAGGAGGGTGGATAGAGCATGATCCGTCCTTAAAATCCATTGAATGTCTTCTGGGTATTATTCAAGCTCTTCGCTTCAGGGGGAGACTGCTTTATTTCCAGAGAAGTAGCAGCTATCCCTAATGCGTTCCTGTTTCCCATTGTTCTTGTAACTTATTTCAGATTTAGGGTTTAGAAAATAGTTTGGTCTGAGTCACTGAGTCTAACAATTTCACAGTACTCTACGTTCCTCAAAGAAAGACAGGTGTATTTGATGATTTTGTTTAACCAAAGTTGTGTTCCACTTTATGGGTTTTAAAGTTATAACACAATTTTAGTGAATATTCTGTTTTTGATTCTCTCTGTGGTTGGCATTTTTCATGTATGTAATCTAGCTTTTTGTATAATTTAACTCATTGATTCATAAAAATATAATTATATGACAGAAATAGTCACATAACCCACCATAAAACCATGACGAGTTTTGAGCTTTAGAGATGCTGGTAGGCAGATTTTGTCACCTTAAGACAGAGCCAGGCTAGCTGTTTCCTCCTGTTTCCAGTCTTTCTGCTAAGCTAACTGCTGGCTCCAGCTTCATAGCAGACAGGAGAGTGTTATCAATCTTCACATTTAACTTCTCGGCAAGAAAGCTATAATCATAGTTGCAAAAATGTAAAACTATTTCTTTAAACTTTAAAGCACCAGAGGATTAAAGCCAGTCAGGGCCTGCTGCATGAGGACCTGGCTGACAGAGGTCAACAATAGAAATAACATATAACATAATAGGAAAAGGCATTGATGAAAGTGTTTAAACGTAATTAAATGACACACACCTTTTCTCTCTCTCTCTCTCTCTCTCCCTCCCTCTCTCTCTGTTTGTTTTCCATGGGACTGTAAACAGGAATGTCTCTCAGGGTGTCATCTTCCCTGCCTGAGGCCAGACAGTCTTCAAATACCAATCACCTTCTCCTCTACTCTCTGACAAGCCTGGGAATTGACACACTTAAGAGAACACAGGAATCTCTTTCTTTACTTATTAAGTAAAAGAAACAAACAAAAGGCTTCTTTTCCTCAGCTGTTGTTCTCACACTTGCAACATTTTCAGTTTAATCTAGTACTCTAATACAGTACTACTTGTTTCTGTGAACCTGCTGTGAAATGTATGGTGCACACGTATTACTATGTGAACATTGTAGCATCTTGTGTGTCAATTTGAGTGTGTTACATAGTCTTTAACACAGGTCTTTATTGTTGGGAGGGTCATTCACATCCAGGAGCTGTGAACTCCCTCAGGTCCACTCTCACTTCCTCACACAGACAATGGAGCAGGGGCTAGAGGTGAAGGAATGAAAGTAAAGGAACCACCAGAAATCATTCAAGGTTAAGTTCTGCTGATTGAATCACTCCCCTGTGACAAATACTACTTAGAGCTACACTGAAGCACAAACAATGGCAGGTCATTTGGCACTAATCGGCTAGCATTCTCTCAGATCACTTCACAATAGCAGGAAAGAGAAGAAAAACTGCCTGTTTTTCTTATGTTCAGATGCTGATCATCTGCTGCTGCCTGCAATTTTTATGTGGTGATGCTGCCTTCATGTGCTCCACTCAAGCTTTTACTGATTTTGACTTCATACATACAACTCATGGCACATTCAGGTGCTTGTGGTCATGTGATGACATGACATTACAACATTGTTTTCTCATTTATAATCAGGTAACAGCCATTCAGATGTACTTTGATCTGCAATGCAAGAGTCAAGACGAGGAAAGACATGGAGTAGTGAAAGTAAAGTTTTAGTAACTACTTGCACAGCATTTTTTGTACATTAACTTCATCTGCAGCTGGTTAACTGTTAAACATAAAGAGAATTTCAGTATTATACGGACAAAGTATATGATAATGAAAAGTTGAATAATAGGTGATTAATTTACAGACAAAAGGCCCAATGTCTAAATCAAACACTGACCACTGATTGTTTCCAGAGCCTCAATGCTCTCCCAACCAACGTCTCATTCGATACTGGAAGTCGTAAAAACATTTGTAATGCATTGAGGTGCTCCTGGCTGGAAGTAATAAGTAAATTAACCCAATTACATATTGTGGCTGATGATGAGACAATGGGATTTACAGAACAGAGCTACTTTGAACCACAGAAAGGAGTAAACAATTTCAAGTACTGAAAGGAAAGGCTGCTACTTCTACAAGCATCAGCTTCACATACTGGAGTTTGCACATTAAAACTCTATAAGAAAAAAAGTTCTGTTCTACACAGGACAAAAAATTTATCCTGAAACTGAAGTCCTTTTGTGCTCCACATACTAACAAACATTAGTTTGAATGTTTGTTTGGTTATTTTTAGACTTTTAGATTTTATAGATAGGACGATTTTATATGTGTCTGGAAAGTAAAACATCCATCCATCCATCGTCAACCGCTTAGGGTTAGCCAATCAGCTTACATCGGGTGAAAGGCGGGGTATTCCCTGGACAAGTGGCCAGTCCATTGCAGGTCATATATAACTATATATAAAAACATACATATAACTATACATAAAACATTCAATACCAATATAACAATATAATAAACTTTAAAACTCAACTTTGAGAAAAGTGGAATCTGAGTTAAATATTTCATCAATTCAAATAATAATTTTCAGACAAACTGATATTCTATCACAAAAAAATACCAGGCAACATCTGTAGTGCATCTGCATGCTATCGTCATAGCCTTTTAATACACTCCCATCTGATTTTTTAAATGTCTCACTCAGGCAGCCCACCTCTTCTTAAGTTGTATTTGGCTCTTGTTTGGCTTGTGCACGTGAAGTTTCCACATTTCCCACAACACCAGAAGGCGTCATGAACTTGCATGTGCAGCGAATAGCTCCCAGCTCATTTCTTTCTAATAACAGTGACATCTTGAGGCTGTTGTAATCCTCCATACCACCTCTCTCTCTGCTCCACCTACTATAAACTGCCTCTCTCTCTCTCTCTCTCTCTCTCTCTCTCTCTCTCTCTCTCTCTCCCTCCCTCCCTCCAGAGCAGTAATGCAGCAGAGCTTGATCTGACTTGTCTTCCCTGCAGGAATTGTTTCTTGCTCCTCGGAACTTATTCGGGTGCTACACTCGCGCTGTGATATGGCCATTTCTGTTTCTCTCCAGTGTCTGGGTCTCATCATACTCGCAGCAATCCTCCTCCAGACCATCGCCGTTGCCGTCAGTTTTATGTTCTTCAACAACGTCCTGAACACGGTAAGATATGCCTCAGTCTTCCCCTTCACCTAACACATAAGTGACTGCCATCTAACTGGTAAAAGGTTTCACGCATATTAATGATGTCAAGTTAACTTTACTTCCAACGCAGAGCTTAGTGATCTACCATTCATTTTACAGGGACAACAGTGACACAGTTTTACAGGCTACGATTATAGGCATAGGACACTAGATATTCCATCG